GCCTTGGGACATACGGATTTTGGACTAAACTCAAGAATCTCGGATTTAGGGTCGGATGCAGGAGAAGCGAAGTGATTGAAACAGACGTGTTTACAGTAAGGGGCGTTTCGCTTTCTCTAGTGGCTGGTATTACATTCTCCAAGGAGCCTCCGCATCTTCCCAGTGCCTGAGCGACCACGTGTGTGACCATACCTGAACAAGACTAACGAGGCAAGGAACATGAAGCCGCTGCTCAGTCCAACTCATTATGGCAACCGAGGGCAACTGCAGAAAGCTCTCTTTGCATATAAGCAACAGTAAAAGTGATTCCACAAATGTATGTTTGTGCGTAAATTTCTATTCAGTGCTCCTTCACCACCAATAAAAAAAAACAACTGTATCTTTTATTGACATATATGTTTGTTTTTATAGGGATCACCAAAGAAACCTACAGCCAGCACAAAGCAGAACTTCGTAACCACCGTGCTCTCAGACACATCAGACTTGTATTACCTGAAACAAATACTGGTCAAAATGGACGTAACGTTTAGACATTTGCTTTAAAGTGTAGCATCCTTTCCACCTGCCAGTGTAGGCCGCAGAAGATACACTCTAGTTAGCATATTACTGACAGGATGATGAGAAAGCTCCTGTCAGACACGGGCCAGCCGGGTGTTTGAGACAAAACGCACAGCCCCAGCTGACTAGTTAGGGAAAGACTGGTGAGGTACAATTACAGAGGCATATGACAAGCTTTCATGCTTGAGTGACTTGAGAACCGATGACATGGCTTTAAACAGCAATCCTTCTTACCTCCGGTCACAAAACAGCAATAAGTCAACTGATGCACTGTTGTAAATCATGATTTATTCCTTTGCTTTGAATACATGAGAGCGCGGTATGATGTTCTGGTAGACTACCACAGCAGGTGCACTTGGGGCCGAAACATCTAGGGCCTGCCTCCAGCATGCATAAAATCAATGCTGCAGTTCAGCCTTCCTGGAAAAGCCATCCCCAGCACTTTAATAATTTATAGAAAGACTGAATTAAAAAATTATTTGTACTGAAACTCGTACAGCTCCATGCAACTAATACGAATACATGCAGATGCAGTGACGTGTGAGGAAACGGTGCTGTGCAAGAACATACAGCATGACGTTTAGGAAAGGTCTTCCTTTTACAGCTGAAGTGAAACAACTAACAGCCACCTCTGTGAATAGATCAATTCCTTTGTTTCATTCATCCTTTCATTTAATCCAAAGCCATATAATTTGTTTCTCTTTCATAGTTTACTCTTCAAAAGCCAGAAATGGTAATTTTTGCTACAAACAGATCTTACAAAGCATAATCCTCAGGCTAGCTGAATCCATCTCACTCTACCACTAAGCCTGAAGCAAGCTGTGAGGTTGGTGATAATCACATTATTAAAGTGGTTGGAAAGTCAAGCTAATAAAAGAATCAACAGTTAGGGCAAATAATGACCCAGAAGCTACGACAGAAAGGAGTGGTAGGAAGTTTCCACTTATATTTTTGGTAGTAATTGGTAGGGCAAGTAGACAAAGATCTCCACCAAAGGAGTTTTTAAAGGGGGTAAAAACACAGAAAATCAATTTAAAGAAAGATGCAAAGAATACATAACAATTGCAAAAACCAGAGGATGCATATAAAACAAAGCCTGCTTGGACAAAATAAAATATAAGCTGACAACTGAAACACCCTCAGGCTAAAATGGTACTTAGGCTTTTTTTTTTTTTAAATTAAAAAAACTCTACTCAACAGCTTAAAGTAGGCAACCTTCTTTTCTCTTTTTTCCTCCAAAGTAAACCTTCTTTTTAAATATAGCATCATTTTCCCCGCTTTTTCCATAACAGGACCGATCCTTTACTTGAGTATAATGAAAGCATGAAATTTATAGGGCAGAAATGCTAGACAAAATTCCTGTACATAAGTAAGTGTAGTTTTCCATTCCTGGCCCCCCACAAGAAGGGTGAGGAGAAAGTGAGTAAGGCCTTGAATTATGCCTTTTGTTATCAGTCACTGCCCTGAGATAGTGAACCAAAACAGAGCTGATAACTCGAAGGTGACATCACAACCCAGTCTTTATGAACTGACATAAACACTTGATATTCAGTTAACCCCAAAGATAAGGCACAACTCCCTTAACAGAAAGTTGTACTTGACAGCATTATTTTTGAACAAATAATCTTTTCAAGTATCAAGCTGTAATTTAGGAATATTAAAACATGACCTTTGCAACACAAAGTACCAGTCTGCTGTGTTTTGTACACAATAGTAAAACAGCACAAAGCTAGCAAATGCTAATGCCCAAATACACTCCATTTGCTTATTTGTACTATATTGCGCAATCCAACATTTTAATATCTTATGCCAAAAACACATTTAGTCATTCTTGGCAATTCAGTTAAATTCTTACAGGAGATACTGAGAAGTGTTTAATTTACTTTTTAAACTATATTGCCCTGTAAAGAAGCAAGCTTTGCATCAGTCCTGCTCTGTTTATGAAAGAGGTGAGAACTGCAGGTAGCAGTTCTCACTGAAGTTCCTGATAAGCCAGGTCTATTTTTCTGTTTTATCAGAACTCACTAGTGCAAATGAAAATTAACCCAGTCCTATATCAAAAGTGGATCCGACGTGATGTGGCAGTAATGCTAGTAGACTGAAAAAGTAAGCAGAAGAAAGTGAAATTGATGTGCTATCTCTTTTTGGACTTGACCTGCAATCTACTATTTACATTCACACCTTGGGGACATTCTTCAGGACATCCAAACGCCACTACAAATGTCTGCTAGTGCTACTTATCCTTGTCCAGGAGAGTGATATAAATCATTTTCAAGTGAGGACACCATCAAGATGACTATTACTTCATGAAAAGATTTGGAATAAACAGCTGAATTTTCAACAAAGTTAAAGTTTCTCACAACCAGCATATTATATCTGTTGTTCTGTAATGACTTCCAAAGAGCTTGGAATCTGAACGCAGAAATGAGGTGGTCTAGATCAGCACAGTGTGATTCTGATACCTCCTCTTCTCTTGTCATATCATAGCAACAGAGATCAGCTGAGATGTTCAGCCTAACAAAAACAAGTCTTAAGAGGATCCAAATGTAGGCTGGGAGTACGATTCTAAATCGTGTTAAGCAGACAGACACGCGCCCACCTGCAGAATGAATCTTCCACAGGCACAGAGCTGCCGTCATGATTCCTATCTCCTGTCTACTGGAGCAGTAAAAGAGGTTTGACTGGGGCATCATTGGAGCTGAGGGTTTTTTATGGTGCATTTTTTCCTTTTTTTTCTTTTTTTCTTTTTTTTTTTTTTTTAATATAGCAAGCTGGGTCCCAGACTGGCAAACTGAAGAAAAAAAAAAAGTTTGATTCCACGGTTTTGCTACGTGAACTTCTACTAAGCCAGGTTCATTGAAAGGGCTTTCTCTTCGAATTCTCTTCGCCCATTTGGGTGGTCTCGTTACTGTGTTGTAACACCCAATCCTTCCCCTAGCCATTTCAGGGGGTGGGGGGCAGGGGGAAGAAAAAAGTGTGATAGAATATGGAAATTTCCTAAGATAAAGTAAAATCTTTGCTGGTTAAAAATATATCACAGACTAGTAATTTGAAGATTGCTTATATTCATTCAGTATTTATTTTTCTGGTTTTCAGTTGTTCATGTGGCCTCTGCTTATATGACCCCATGTCTCCTTTACTCTCCCGTCACCATGGACTTACTTAGCTCCATATTCTGCAAACCACTGGTAAAGTGCTGTCTTCGTGCACTCCCCTAACTGCAACGGTGATTGCAGATTCAGGGACCCAACACTGTGGTGTTTTGAAAAAAAAAATAATAATAAGGCAGTCATATAATTGCTACTACCACCTAGAATTGTAAAACCTGCCAGCCTTTTATGGCGATTCTGAATCTTCTCTATCTTCGATTTACTTTTGACTCAAAAGAATTTAAAGGGGCTTTATCCACTATTTATAATCCAAAAATTCTTGCTCCTTACATGCACATGTATGTATTGGAAATCAGCACCTGCAAGACTTTGAAAATACTTATTTTTAGTACTATATCCAACCTTGTACCTATTGTTAATCTTTTTGGTAGTACAATTAGCAGTGTTCAGGAACATAGACTTGATTTTCTACCATAGAAAGCATATTAAACAAAATGTTTTATGCAGTACTGTTGAAAAAAAAAAAAGGTATTTTCAATGACTGTGCTTAACAGGCTAAAGATTCTGCATAACAAATATACTCTATGGTGAATGTTGGTTATAAAGTGACAGTCTTGTACTAATGCAAAATTAATCTTGGGAATATTTTCAAAATATACGATATTTTAAAAACCCATAAGATTCTGTGAAGAGTAAAACAAAATAACATCTGAATATTTAGGTATACTTTCAAAATGAAACACAACATTCTTTTAAGTGGTCTAAGCAGGCATAAGGCGGGGGGGGGAAGCATTTTAATGTGGGCAGTAGCTTAAAACCTTTAATAAAAAAAAAAAAAGCTATTTTGAGTTGTACGTTGCTATCAGTCTGAAGAGCTGCTCCAAATCAAAGCTATTACAGTATGCACTCCCAAACCACTCTAACAAAGATGAATCTACCTATTACCAGGTTAGGATAGCAGCTATTATTATGGACCCTTGATTTCTTTCAAGTAGCTCCAATGGAATAAGCCACAAGTGAATAATAAAGATCTTATAATAGCCCTTAAGAATTCTTTTTAGGTTAGAAGGCACAGAAATGAACTCAGGAGAGTTAAAGAACTCTCATCTCCTGATAAGAAAAATAATTAACCCGACTTAATGTATCTGAGTAGGTCTTATATAAATCAGACTTTTGTACTTCAAGAGCCAGACTAAAACCATATATCAGAAAAGTATGTAGATATTGTCTTATAAGTACACATGGAACATATCTAAAACCACAAAGGTCTGCAGGTCATTTTGTGAAATGTTCAATATATCCTACTTAAAAGGAGATGTGTGAAGTACTTACAGTGCTTAGTTTGCTAGAGGTAATAATGATTCGTCTCTCATGCAACATACTGGCATAAAGTTGCAGCATGTTGTTCACATCCACAGCAACAAAATATTCAGTGAGGTTTCTCTGTTTAAATAAATAAGATGTTAACAATATAGCAACAGTAGTAGTTAAGTGGAACATTTTATATATTACTTACAAAAATTTTTTCCCATTAGTAGCTGCGGAAAAAAAACCAACCCAAAAAAAACCATGAAGGAAATCCCTTTGCATTAAAATCTGTATGCTTTAAGAATAATTGATTGGGTTTTAAAGCCAATGAAAAACTAACTTCGGTGTAAGTTATTAATATTTTGCTCATTTGATTATGCTTGTGAATTTAGATTTGCCCTTTTTTTTTTTTCCAAATTTGAAAAAATATGAAATTTAGTATTATATCAATAGCACCATATGCTATTAAGGTAACCATTACCTCCAACCCAGGAACAGATCTTCCACCACTGCAAAAACTGTTCTGTCATAGCTACAGTAATAAAACAATGCTATTTTGCTAGGCTCTCCCAAAGTCAACACATTTTATTCTACTTCAAGTACAGCAAAACAGCCTGTTGAAAAACACCAAGCTTTTGCTTGAGCTGTATGCGCCAGGACACCAGAAGTCCGGCAGCACTGGTGGAAGGTACTGGGTCCTTCTTGCAGCCACCCTTTTGGCCCCCGATGAGAATCCCACTGCTACCCCCGCTGTGGGGTTTAATGAAAAGCAAAGTCACCAGCACCTCTTATTTATAGTGCAGACAGCACAAAAGCGTGCACTTAACAGTATTTCTGCATGGCACAGTGCCAGAGACATACAAGTTCTGAATAAGCTAAAACAGCTACCAGCAAAAATGCCTAGGAAAACAGCAAATTTTTGTAAACATTGGAGAATACCTATGAAAATATACTAATACATCCCACAACATACAAAACATTCAATTTCACACATTCATTATCGTATCTGCAACCAGAACTCTTACTCATCTCTTCTCAGGAACAACATGTCACCGAACGTTGATGTAGGAGGCCTATCAACTATATGTCCCAACCCAAGGAAATCTGAACAGTGGAACCGTTAGTCTGTACTGGATGTGGCCAAGACATGGCAGCAAGGTAATGCACCCCTGAAAAAGGCTTCAGCGCAGGGTGACCCCCCTGACTGCCAGCTCCACCACCCCCCTGGGGGCCAGGACACGGCGGCTGGCTGCGGCCTCTCCGGCTCACGGCCCTCCGCAGTCAGGGAGCGCGGCGTGGGCAGAGCTGCTGTTCACCAGCTGCTGGTTTGTCTCCTTACAGACTCCGCTATACGGAAAGCTAACTGCAGTTGAAGCCCGGATGATGATCAGAAGGTTGACCTGCATTTTGGATATACTGCAATATTAAAATAAAAAAAAATATTGCAGAGACAAACGAAGACACAAACAAAGATCCAACGGACGATCCAGTTTCATGTAAATTCAGAAATGCATTCTTAATTTGAAGACACAGAGTATAGAGTTATTCTTGGTCCATGCTGCATAAGATTTTGCAGGGGAGAAAAACAAGAGCTTTAAGGCACAAACACTCCATTTAGAAAGAAACTCTGGTCTTTCAAGTGCTACTTTTAACTGATTGTCAGAGGCTGACGCACCGTGATAATTTGAGTCCAATTTACCTCGGACACCCCCTAACACTGTAGTTGATAATGGTATGCTGATTCTGTGTTGCAAAAGCTGTGGTAAAAAGAGTTTGCAATCTTGTACAGACCAATGTATCTTTGGGAGACAGTCACAGTTATTTCTGCATTACATCTGAAAAGTTACTGCCCCTGAAATATGTGAATCTTACAACAAAGAAGAAGAAAATTCATTTTATTGCTAATTTACTGTAATTACCTCACATCTTCACTCCCTGCATGTTCTAACCCTCCATTAGTACCATACTATTTTGATTCATACTGGAAGGATGAGACTTTTATAAATGGAGTAAAAATTAATTATAGAAAGGCACCTTGAAAATTACTTTTCCTTTCTCCCACAGAATCAGAAAAATAAATCCACAGTGGCACCATCGCAAGATCCTCCATCAGCCAGAGGTCCAGAGTGAAGCTTCCCCACATTTTCTTCAAGTTGAACACATAACACACCTTCTAACCTCCAAAGCTATGTTTTATTAGAACCCCAAATAATAAGCTAGAACAAGACGATTCTTTAAAATAGAGGAATTCAACCCGTAGCCAAAACAGATGAAAAGAAACATTTAAAAACTAAGCCCTGTCCTGCCCAAAGAGCCCTTGCAACAAGGGTCCTCTCTTTTACTCCTCTATCGAGCAACTTACAGTAGTTTTCCGGGTTGCAACAAGGGCCGCGCCATCTCCCCTGGGTCCCTGGCGCAGACTCCTTTCCACCCCCGCAGAGGTACCCGCAGGCCTCCTCCCTGCTGCACCAAGCCTACCGCTCCCCGCCAGCCTGGGCTCCCCCCCCGGCCGCCCCCCTCCCCCGCCCGCCCCAGGAGCCGCTGCCCGCGCTGAGGGGCACAGCCTCCCGCCTCCCCCCCGCAGCGCCGCGGCGGGGAGCAGGCGGCGGGGAGGCCTTCCCCACCACGCCTCGCCGGCGCACCACCGCCGCGGAGGCCGCGGGCGCACTTCTGTCACGCTTTCTGCGCCAACACCGCAACATCCACCAAGAACGAGTTCCGCGGTACCGCGTGATTTTGTACTCTGGTGAACCCCCCAGAAGCTGAACTTTCAGGAGGAACTTTTTATTTGAAAGTGTAAAAATGCACATCTCTACACCCACACGCAATTCCAGACTTAAATGCAAGAGTGGAAAGCAGAAAGTTTCGAAGCTCTTTTATTAGATGTTACCCAGCTAAACACATCATAGAGAATGTGACCTGAGATTTCACATTTGCAGTCTACCCACAGCACCATCAAGGATTTAACATCTACAGAATGCAAGTCTTCATAAAAAAAAAAAAAACAAACAAAAAAACAACAACCATTCCTGGTGCATGGTTACCATCCAAATGTAAGCAGGTACGGCATGTTTTCAGAAAGCCTGAAACAATGCCTTCTTACACAAAAAATAGCTGCATATCTTGACAGCTGAATTTGCAGCTTAGCAGCGCAGTGTTTAAAGGGCAGGTATTCAAGTAACACGAGGTGCAGAAGCAGAATATATTTTACATAAATAATCCCAATAAATGCAAACAAGCCAAGTAATTATGAACAAAGGGTGGATATAGCAGTGGTCAAAAATGCCCTGTTAATGCTTTAAAATGGGTTAATGATGAATGCAACGGTGACTACTAGCTAAAGGTTGTAATAATAGACATCAATCATATTCTAAAAACAGTCTTGGAAAAAAAACATCTCCTATTGATAAAAGCAGAGTTCAGCCCTACCCACAGAATGAGGTTGATACTTCTCCTAAATATTTAAAAAAGAAACTGCATACTTACACTTTCAGGGATTGTTGGCAATCCAGTTATATCAGGAGTAATGAAATACGAGTGCTAATCAATGGGGAAAAATAATTAATAATTTATGCACACAGAAACCAAAAATTCCTTTTTAAAAAATCCAGCATTTAGGATTTCCAACCCCATCTTTTTTTTAAGCAAACAGCCAGTTTTCCAACAGCATTCTTACCACTACTAGACAAAGAATTAAGCAGACCACGACACGAAATGACAAGCTCTGGTTCAACACAGCACACAAACCGAGGGAACAAAACGCTGGGCTGCAGTTTTGAAATAACACTGAAATTAAGCCAGCTTTAAATGTTGTCAAGAGCCTGAGATGAAATTAAGTTTAAATGTTGTCATGAGCCTGAGAGTAGCATTGATTAACTTAAGCATTGATTTAAAAATTGCAACCAAAAAAAAAAAGTTAAAGGATAAAACATAAATTTAGAACAGAAAAGGAAAAATCATTCACGAGAAAATTAATTAGAATAGAAATATTATCACTTGATATACATTCTCTTCTCTTTCCAAACACCTTTGAATCAAAAAAATGTTGTCATGAGCCTGAGAGTAGCATTGATTAACTTAAGCATTGATTTAAAAATTGCAACCAAAAAAAAAAAGTTAAAGGATAAAACATAAATTTAGAACAGAAAAGGAAAAATCATTCACGAGAAAATTAATTAGAATAGAAATATTATCACTTGATATACATTCTCTTCTCTTTCCAAACACCTTTGAATCAAAAATGTGCTAACAGAAATGCAAGGTCTGACAGCTTGAGATTCTGCAATCATTTATGAGATACATTAGCAATTTTATGCATCTTAGTTTGAGGCCATCTAGGATGTAAATATAAAATGGATTAAACTAAAAACAGATGTAATTTAGCTTATTCTCATTAATCCAGTCCTTTTAGTAGTTATCAGACATGGATTTAGCTCAGTAATTTTAAGGCATTTTTGCATATTAGTCTAAATCTCAAAGGACAAAAAACCTTAAGTGCATACTAAGTAAATGTGATAATTACTAACTTTTTAGCTTTTATTTGTTTTTAACAGAATTTTGACATTTTTCATAGACTTTCTTTGTGTATTTTAAAATTATAATTAACAACAAAAAGACACAGTTCGTTTTCAAGTCAAACTTGAAAAAGATATACCAAAACATAAAGGAAGTCTGTAAGATATTAAATGCGTCTTGTACTCAAGCAAAAAAAAAAATATTAATAATATTAACTCTGTGTACAAGACTTATTAAACCAGCTTGATACATTTAATAGAAAATTTTCCCCACAAATTAGGTCATTTGGCAATAGTTAAAAATTTAAGAAAAGAAACTTGGCTTAAAAAAGGCATCCCATAAACATCATAACACTTGCATAATAAATATCCCAAGTTATTGTTTTGCATCAACAGAGAAAAAAAGCTAAGATTTTTTCTCTAGTCAAGAACAGGAAAATATTCAGATTAATGGAATGCCTACATTCTTCAGAAGTATAGTGAGAACCGAAAGTGATTTCCTATATGTAATAAGGTCACAGAATATTTATCAAAAGATTTCTGAGTAATTAAGTTAATAACTTAGAGAAGTAATTATTTATAATTAACAAAGTAATAATATTTCACTCATTAAACAGAAAAGGAAGTCAGAACTATGAGAAGCACAGACCCATTACTGCAGTCATTAAGAGTCATAAAGCAGCAAAAATAATGTGGTATGGAGTCCTTGCACATCTTTGTGAACTCCCTTAGGAAGATGTACGACCTTGGAAGAGATACTAAATTAATAGTTGCTGTCCTGTATAAAGTTTTCTCTAACAAGGACGCTAGAAAATGCAAGTTTTGTTCATCAATTTAAGGGTTTGATTTTGGTTGCGGTTTTTACAAAAGGATTATGACGCACACACACATAGCTCTGAAGTTAGATTGATTTAAACAGAATAGGTACATTAATATTGGACTGCGCTCTTAGGCTAAAGACAGCAGCAGAGTTTCCCAAAGGACAGGTATAAATAAGCCTGCAATCAAAAGAGATATCCTATAGCAAGTAATTATTTCTTTAATTACAATAGGCTTTAGATAGTCAGTGCCTTTTAAACTCACCGATACAAGACAAGGCTGTTTTTTCAAAACTTGCTCACTTGCAAAAATCATCTCTTGGTTCTTATGCAAGATGAGAGAAAGATTGAACAATTGACTTTTTAGTTTTCCAACAAAAAGGCCAAAGCTGACTCTAATGCTTGTAATATTCCATGTTTAAAACATTGGCTGAAAATGCTTTATTCATTGTATTCCTCCCCCATTTGAATTCAGACTTAGCTAGCTTTTCAAAAAAAAAAAAAAAAAAAAATCACTTTTGTTAGCCCTCTGTGGGTAAAATAAAAGTGACACAAATTATATTTAAGCTCAGGTTTCATAGAACGAATGATCACCCCTCATAAATTTCAGCTGCAGAATATTTGTTACTGGGACTGATAGGCGAGAGTAGAACTTGGTCCCTAACTGGACCAAGGCATTTTGGTGTCCTCCTGACCAAGGATTACTGGGAAACACCATCTATCCTGATACTGGGCATAATTTATGCATGATTATATACATGCAATCCTAAGTACCGTCGTGGTCTGCCATCTAAAGCCCACTTCAACACCTATGAGCCTTACCCTGCAGCATACCTGAATAAATGGGGGGAGGGATCTTTTTAGTTCTGCATCATGGAATTTGAACTAGACTCATCCTGGCACAATGAAAAGCCACCTCGTGATGTCATTTCTACAATTATTTTTCAGACTGTAACTTCTTTTTAAGTCTATTACTACTGACGGTTCCAGTCTAGCTTATTTATAATATACGAGGAGCAAGAAAGGAACATCAATATGAAAGACTAGGCACACAAAGTTAAGAGTTGAAAGTGGTCATAAACATTTCCCTGCTCCCTGCAGCACTGAGGATTACAAAAACAGATCCAACAAGCATTCTGACTCAGGCTAACCTATTCCTTCCTGCTCTGCCCCGTCTGAACCCACAATATTTGCTCGACTGTACCTGCAGCCAAGCATTTGGCAAGAGGCCTGCATTTAGGTAATCATTGTTCAGCTAAAAAGGTTACAAAAGTCTTTGATGTAACAAACTACTGGGAACAAAAGACAATTGAGGGAAAAAAAAAAATTCAAAAGTCAGATAATATTGAAATAAAACCAGCAAGCATCAACTTTATTGCAAGCAATTTGTCATCCCAGTGTTGCCAACTGTATTCACCATAACATCAATTTCCAGGTTATCACAACATTCATTTTGAGGTAGGCAAGTTCTATGCAAGATGAACTGCAACACTGATAGCAACAGGCAGTAACATTTTGCAAGAAATGCAAGGAAAAATATCTTTAAAACTTCTCTATGTCCCTCTGAAACACAGTAGGATTTTTAAAGGACTTTATAAAAGTGTCTTAGGGTTTCCAGATTAGAATTGGTTGTAATACATCAATTATCGATAGCAAAATATTACTTGATATACAGAAGTATTCTTGGCAAAGGTACTATGAACTGAAAAATAACTTGAAAATATTACACTGACAACAGGAAGAAAAAACGTAGCAACAGAAACAATTCCGACTGCAGCCTCAAAAACCAGTACGTTGTTCTGGTGAAAAACAACACACAAGACTGGAAGGACTTCCAAATACAGTGGATTAGCACGGTTCAAAGGGGAAAAATATTAGGCCTCTGTAGCCTAGTGAAAAAAGCATAACAACGAATCTGAAACATGACAAATTAAACTAAAATAAAGGTAGCATTATGTTAAGCAGCAAGGGTGAGTAACTACTGGAACAGAAGTGGTAGACTCTCCATTTCTGTATGCCTTCATAATAGGGCCAGATGCTTTTCTGGAGTCTGTGCTTACTTTACTCGAAGTATTGGGCTCAATTCTAAAGTGAGTGAGTTAAAAGTAACAGGAAATGACACAAATAAGGTCAAAATAAATAATCTAATGATCTTTCAGTATGCGCGTAAGGGAAGCCTTTACAAAACCACTTCTTTCTGTGCCCTGCAAACTGTGCTAGTTCAATCAAGAAACAGTTATTTGCACACAGTCACTTATGCGTGCAGTAGTTGTACAGATGCTGTGAACACGAACAATGTCTCGGAGACAGCAGAGGCTCTGTATTGGCTTTACATTTCATGCAGGCTCTACAAATGTATTTAAACATGTGTCCATATGCTGTTTCTGTTAAAAACTTCAGGAACCGTAACAGTGACAGGCTCACTTTTTGATGTTTCTGCGGCAACAGCACCTTGCCATACTATCACTGCCCAGTCCCACATCACGGAAAGTCAGACCACAAAAGCAAGGCAGGCATGAACACGTTCTTCCACCTAGATGTGCTGAAAGGTTCATGTAATGCAATACACTTCTCCTACCATCTTTCCTACAGCATTTTTGCATGATCAAGCAAAACTAGGAAAAAGGGGAAGGAAGACGGGAAAGAAGCCACCTTACACAGATTTTTGTCCAATCCTGCAAGTCTACCTACTCAGACATAAGAGGCAATAAAACAGAGTTAGTGTCTCCCGATTCACAGCAGGAGAAACCAAAATTATCTACACAAAACAGCTGGAAGCACAAAAAAGTAGTTCTAGCACTTCCAGCTCCCCCTGCAGTTTACTTTCTTATCCACAGAGGAAAATTCAAATTTCTGCTTCTTTATGACTGTGACTTTAAGCAAACAACATGAGACAAAGACAAAATCTATTCTGCACGGGGGGGGGGGGGGAG